ATTGAAAGTAAGATTCGATTAAAAATATCTTAAATTTTTGAACAAAAGGAGTATCTATTATCATTATGGAGAATAATAGTCATTTCATTCTCTTCTTATTATAGGACACAAGAATCTTTTGGTCCTTAATATAAAACATATAAAGGGTTATTTACTATCATTTTTTTAATTTTATCACTATTGTAAATTTAATTTTATGATTGATTGCATTCTATGTATTTCTCTTTTTTTATTTTTAATAGGGATAAAATTTTAAAAAATTATTTTAAAACATATTTAATGAGTTTATTGTCATTTTTTAGTTCTAGTGAAGTAATTAAAATTATCTTATAATAGGGATAGGAAGAATAAGTTTTAAAAGAATAAATTAATGATAGTTAGATTCTGACATAATTTTTTTTAAAAATGAGTTGCAAATATCAACTTAGAAAATTTATAATAAAAATTTTTAAATACAATTTGAAAGTTACATTAGAAACTAATTTTTTTAGTTACAATTATAACTCTTAAATTTTTAATCATCTGAATTGATATTTTTAATTTATTTTTTAAAATTTTTACTGTCATTTAATTGTCATTCAATCTTTTGAAATTTAGGGCCTATCTGTTTTCTATTTTTTAAAAACTGTTTTTTATTTTAAAAACAAGAAAACTTTAAAACTTATTTAGATAATTATTTTTCATTTAATTATTATCAAAACTATTTTCAATCTTTTTTTTAAAAAATAGAAACAACTTCAAGTTGTTTTTATTTTATTTTTTTATTTTTAAATATATATTTTATTTTAAAAGTTATAGTTATCTTGACTAATTTTTATTATTAATTATTACTATTAACTACATATAACCATCACTATTAATTCATGTTTTAATTTTAAAACTGTGTTTTAATTGATATAACCAAACAGATTTTCATTTTATTTTTGTTTTAAAAATAATTTATTACAAATAGTTTTTAAAAATAGAAAATGAGGGTAGAAACTAAACATGCTCTTAAGCTGTGATTCTTCATTTTAATAATTTTACTTACAATTCGCTCCTTGACTTGTCAGAGCAGTACAAAACAGAAGAAACAGATTACTTTACCAAACGAAATTGTCTTCCCTACTGATTTTTCAGAGTTCCCTTCTTGTTCTGACATTATATAACATGAATAAATACAACATTCCGAGGCAGAAGAAGATAAAAAGGGGGGAAAAAAAAGCTGTGTCACCAAGAAGGGGGGAAAATCAAAACAGAAATCATGTACGTGACAAGACCTCTTTCAATGTACATAAACCAACCTTCTGCACTATCATTGCCTCCACCAGAAGGTCCAAATTCTGGGATTCTGGTTCTGCAAGATGAAGAATCCGACCTTACTTGTTGTTTTGGCTTGTGTAAAAGCAATCAAGTTCTGGACCTTCCTTTCCCACAGAACAGGGACTTAACTCTTCGTTATTCATCTGGTGGTTCAAATAAACACGGTGATCACTTTTATGCTTCTTTCGTACCTGTTCTCAATCTGCCCTTGTCGTCCAACAGATATTATCTGATGAAGACACATGGGAGACATAAAGGGTAAGCAAATTTTTTCATCAAAAAAGGGTTTGATTGCATTTTGTTTTTTTAATTTTCAGTCTTTTTAACTTGATTCGTCTACAATGTTAGCTTTTATAGTTTTAAAAATGCACATAAGCATCATGAGTTGGTATTGAAGAGATTAATTTTGCTGATATATATTTAACTCTATTAACCCCTTTTCTTGTCATTATCTTCTACATCCAAATATAAGAGTTTTTTTTTTTTTTTTTGCTCACTTAACTTTTATTTTTAATTATACCGTCAATTTATTTTCATATCAACATATTTTTGCCATGTCAACAAAAGGGTTAGCATAAATGTTTTGTGTACAGAGACATTGGAAATCATTTCTGTACTTACCAAGTAAATTTAAACATTAGATGTGTCAGATAACATTGATGATGAAGACCTCTATGGTAAACACAAGCACTTGAGTACGAATCAAGCCTATGTAATAAGATCGAGGGTTTGAAGCAAGACATGAGATTGCCTTCTCATTTTATAACTTATAAACTTGTCTATGTAGTATCAAAGTTGCACTATTCACAAGTTATGAATTAACAGTGACTTATTGCTCAAATTCTGTACAATGCACGGAAAACATGTCTAATTTTACATTATACGAAGGAAATCTGACTAGTTAAAGCACACTAATCAAGCCGATAAAGTTCATTGCAAAGCACACAAGGACCAGAGTCTGAAGCATGTTATTGGAAAACATTTTGGCCCTATATTGCCTACTTCATTTGTATAATATTTCAATGACCTAAATGTTCAATCTTACACTGACATTGCAGGGAAGCTTTAACAAATTCAAGTGAGGAAGACATGACAAGCTGCTGCTTCTGCAACATTGTAAGTGATGTGCCACCACAACCTTTAGATCACAACAGCACACACCAGCAATTTGAAGTCGTGAGGGTTGAAGGACTATTCAATCAATGGGGTCAATTTACAGCAAGATCAGTAGCACCAGATGGAGTGCCACCACGCTTTTTAGAAAGCAAAGGGTGGAGGGCTTACACTTCAACCCGGCAAAATTTCAATTTGGGCGAAGCACCGGGGCTAAACCCTTCCCTACGAGCTCGCCTTCCTGGTTTTGACTTCCCATTATCTCGCAAGAGTTCTGATGCTGTTGTTGTGGGAAAATGGTACTGTCCTTTCATGTTCATAAGAGAAGGAAGACTGAAAGATCAAGTTAGGAACTCAGCTTATTATGCAATGACCCTTGAACAAAACTGGGAACAGATTTTTGAATGTGACAGTACTTATTATGCAGAAGGCAATAATAACTCTGTAGCTGTGGATGTTAGTGTTCAAACAATGAGGCTTTCAGTAAGTGGAAATGAGGCTCAAGTTGAAGATGTGGCTAATGGGATAATGTGGTTCACAAGCCATGGCAATGGAGAGAATGAGGCTAGTAGAGTTGGACTGAGCATGGCAATAGTTGAGAGAATGAGATGGGAACAAGAGAGAGCTGGTTATGTTTGGGGGAATGAAAGACATGTGAGAGTGAAGAAGGTGGATGAACTTGGAGGGACTGATCATGGGTGGAACAAATATGGATGTTATGTTTTGGTTGAGAGGTTTTGTACTCAGAAGAATGGATGGAAGCTTGGTGTTAAGCTGGGAATTCAAGCACATACATCATGTCAGAAGCAAGTGGGATTGAGTGGCTCTGTTATTCTTTAATCTTTAGAAGTTTCTCAGCTTCATTTCTTAGGAAGAATTCTTTCATTTGTTTGGCTGCTTTGTAAGTAACATTAAGAAAAACAATACTGAACACAAGTATTTTGGATGCTTATCTTTTGCGGATCAGACCTACCTGTGGAGTGTGAATCTTTCATATTGTCAAGTTTAGTCTTCCAAACAATTTGACATTGATGATACTGTATTATATTGTAGTTTGTAATTTATCAAGCAGGGTAATATAATATTTACCAGTTTCATTTTCTAGGCATAATTCTGAGTTGTGAGATGTCCTCTGCATCATTTGTAGAAATTTCTAACTCAATAATTCACCTTTCACATACAAATACATAAGAGAATATAGAGATAACCTTCTCTCTCATATAATCTTGTCTATGGGGGTGTTGAATAAAATTTTAGAAAAGGAAAATTACATCCAAAAACTTGAGAAAAAAGTTATTCAAAGATAAAGACTAATAATATACAAGTTCTATTTAAAGGAAAACAAATACTTGTTTCTATTTTAACAACAATTCATTTTTATTGATTTTTGTTTGTGAATAACTTTCTTTTTAGGTCCTTATATCTAATTCTCCCTTTAAAAAAGGGAATTGGATGGGGAATACACACCCCCATTATTTATCAAGAGCTTGCACTTGGAGGTTGTGTGTGTGTGTAAAGGGAGCTTGCTTGAAAACTGGTTTTTAATTTTTTTTTTTGTTTATTCCCTGTTTTATCGAAAATTGTAGAAGAGATCAGTTAATCTTCTGTCTTAAATTATTTTTTTATTGCTCATAGATATCTTTTTATTAGAATCAATATTGTTTGAGGCATGGTCGGGCATATGTGGGCACCTCTCTCACCCAGAATTTAAACCTTAATTTATCATACTATGAGAAATTAACCCCCTTCATTAGACCTTATCCTAATTGGTGTCACTAAAATTAGTTTACATCCATTACCGTGTGAGAATTAAATTTAGAGAAAGAAAATCAATGGAAAGGGGTATTATATTTTAAAGTATCTCCTATTTAATATTAATATTTTTTGAACGGGTCGAAACACACAATGTAATAGTTAGAATATGATTGAACTGTAATAAAAAATCAGTCATGAATAAATTAACAAATTTTAAATAATATTTACTTAAAGTAACAAAACATTGTCAAATGTTGATATTTTAGTTTTATTTTTAAAAATAACAATAATTGATATAAAAAATAATCATTTAAAACTAATTGAGTTATGATTAGATGAATGAAAAGATACTTTATAAAATTAAGAGACTGAACTAAAATCTTATATAAAGTTAGAGAATTAAATATAAACATGATATAATTTAATTAAAATATAAAAAATTCATGTATAAATATGAATACAGTAATATTTAAATTAAAAATTAATCCACAAATAAATGAAATTAACATCAACATAATTTATGTATTAGATTAATTTGAGAGTTAACTTATGTTTTAAATCTTAAAGAACAAACGTGATTATTTAAAAAAATATAAAAAATAAAATTGATAAAAATTAAATTTTAAAAAACTAATTTGATATAGTTGAAGCAAACTTAAAATTAAAAATTTCATTATCCTCATCCTATAATAATATTCTTAATTAAATTGGGCTTGTGCAAAGGGCCTTTTCAAGAATTTAAAAAAAAAAAAAAAGAAGCTAGCTTCTGATGTACAAATTTCAATATCACGCACATGACTGAAAGCATTTGATTTGTCAAGTATTCAACTATGATCGTAGATAATGCTTCCAGTACATGTACATGCACAACGTTTCATTATTCGTTGTTCACATCTATTCATGTCTTTGTCAATAATAATCAAATTTCAAAACGAAATGCTTGGGGGTTTACCATTCTCATCCTGCTGACTTTCATTTGCCGAAAACATGGAGAAACAAGTGTAGCCTCCATGGAGGTTCCTGTATAATCATGAACCGTTTGAACAAGAAACCCCGCGTGAATATGCGACCAATCACACACAGATTTGACAATTCATGGAAACTTCCATGCAGCTTCATTGACACAAAATCATCAATAATACCATCAAACAAACACACAACCCGAACAATATATATAAATCTATCGCAGAACACCAAATATCAAGTTGATAAGTTCACAAACTAGGGAAGGGAGTGAGTGAGAGAGAGAGAGAGAGAGAGAGAGAGTGTGTATGTGACAAGACCTCGATCTTTGTACAAAAGGGATCCTGGAGCTCTTTTGCATCAACCAGAGGGACCAAATTCAGGCTACCTTGTACTTCAAGACCAAGAAGCTGAGACTTATGGATGTTTTGGTTTATGCAAGAAGGGCATCGGCAATCTTCCATTTCCACAAAACAGGAACTTAACAATTGATTATGCAGTGAGTACTGGACAAAGTAGTGTGGTGTATCAAGATGCAGTTATTTTCATTCCTGTTCTGAATCAGCCTTTGTCTTCTAATCGCTACTACGTCATGCTAAGGAAAGGGGAGCATCAAGGGTATGTCTCACTTTTTGCCCCTTTTCATTCAACACAAATATCTGATATAATAATAGTATAAAGCTCTTCTGTTTCACATATCCTATGTGATATGTGATGAGTTATGTCCTTTCAATGATCATATTCTTAGTTCTGTGCGTCTAGTCAATTGGTTTAACGCTTTTGTGAAGTGAAGCAAGCACATGTTCAAAAGAAGAAGACATGGGAACATGTTTGTGTTGCACCTACATCAAAGATGTCAAATCAAGGCCTTTGAATCCGCCTGGTGAATATCAACAATTTGAGATAAGGAAAACGAGATGGGGATTCCAAGGCAAGTCTATCGTCTCAGATGGGTTTGCTCCTCAGTTTTTGAGGAGAAAGGGTTGGACTCTGTCCACCAAGACACCACGCCATTACCAATTGGGTGAAGCTCTCGGCATCAACCCCGCCTTGAGAGCCGTGTTGCCGCCCTTCACCTTCCCATCATCGTCGAATTGCTCCCAGCCAGTGGTAGTCGGAAAATGGTACAGCCCTTTCATGTTTGTGAAGGAAGAAGGAGTGAGTGTGAAGGAGCAGATGAAGAGGTCAGTGTTCTATGAAATGACACTTCAAAGAAGGTGGGACAGAGTTTTCTCTAAGGAAAACGATGGGAAAATTAATGAAGTGCTTGTGGATGTTGTGGTGAAAACTGAAGTTGCAGGGCTGGGAGATGGTAGAGAAGCTGTTTGGGAGGAAGGAAAAGTTGGAGAAGAGGGTGTGATGTGGTTTAAGAGTTTGGAGAGAGGAGAGAGAAAGGTAGGGTTGAGAATGGAGATTGTGGAGAGAATGAGATGGGAAGAAGAGAGAGCTGATTGGGAGGGAAAGAATAGTGGGAAGAAACAAGTGAGATTTGAAAGAACAGAGAAATTGGAGGGATCAAGTGGAATAGTGTGGAGGAATTTTGGATTCTACGTGTTGGTGGAAAGCTTCGTGTTGAAGAGAATGGATGGAAGCATTGTATTAACTTGTGATTTTAGACACTCAATCATGTCAAGTGCACGTGGGAGTGAACTAGTAATGATTGTAATATTTTATGTATTTGATTTCTGAAGTGTTTGTTGATTAGTTATACAGTTTGGTTTAATTATAATATTATTTATTCTTGTACTCGTAAGTGGTTTGCAAAGAGATGTTGAATTTATGTATGAAGAGTTTGATTTAGTGGTTTGTAACTGAATTTGATATTATTCCATCTTACTGTTGTATTAATATATCAAGTGCACGTGGGAGTAAAAAGTAATGATTACAATATTTTATGTATTTGATTTCTGAAGTGTATGTTTAATAGTTATACAGTTTGGTTTAATTATAATATTATTTAATCTTGTACTCACAAGTGGTTTGCAAAGAGATGTTGAATTTATGTATGAAGAGTTTGATTTAGTGGTTGTAAATGATTTTGATATTCCACCTTACTGTTGTATTAATGTATTAATTGCAGAAGTGATAACCTTCTCATAGATATAACAAAGCTAAGCATCTTCTATCTCTGTTCCATATGAATTGGCTTATAAAGTAATTCAAATTAATAATTTGCAAGCTGGTTCTATATTTATGTCAAACCAGCCTTGATCTTGTTCAGTTTTATCGAGTAATGCCAATCCAGTAGACCTGTACACGTATGCTTATTCACGTCTATTCAAAAAATAGAAAATTATGAGTTGTCTATCCAGTGAAGATGAAATAAGAATCAATTCATCGTATTTATCAAAAAAAAAAAAAGAATCAATTCATCATGAAGCAGAGGAAAGGATACCTCTGTTTCTCACAGATTACAAAGATTGGTTTTTCACCTTCAGATAGTGTTCTCATCTTAATTCCTGACATCTAGTTAGTGGTCAACCACTATGGGGAGGATCATCGCTTCAAGGATTTTCCGTACAGTGAAGCAAGCACATGATCAAATGAAGACGACATTGGAACATGTTTATGCTGCAATTATATCAAAGATGTTAAATCATGACCTCTATATCACTCATATGAATATCAACAGTTTGAAATAGTGAAAAAGCGTTGGGGATTCCAAGCCAAGTCTATTGCCTCAGTTACTTAAAAATTATAGAAAAGGGTCTCAAAATTAAAATTACAAAGCAGGAACCATAAAATTATACATAAATACCTCAAAAATTAATATCAATTAAATCCTCTAAATTATATATCAATAATAAGAAACAAATATTATTTCTTACTCATGTAAAATATCAAAATATGATTTTGACCAACCAATTTAACTAATTACTGGTAATTAATGGATCACAATTGGGGGAAATAACACTAATAAATAATTAAAAAAATCATATTTATTTTCATAAAATCATATTAAATTAACCAATTTAATATATATAATAATTTAAATAATATTATTATAATTTACAAATCTTCACACACAATTTACAATTTAACTATTGAGATTTACACATTCTCTTAAAGTTTACAACTTAACCAGTATATTTGTTATTTATAAATAAATGTATTTTTTACACTAGCAATGAAACTTGAACAAAACTAGGAACAGAGTTTTGAATGTGACAGTACTTATTATGTAAAAACCAATGATAATTCTTTTTTTTTAAATGAAAAACTAAAAGTCTTTTATAAAAACATTAATAAAGAGAACACAAGCTTACAAAATCAAACTAAAAGTCACCTTTTATTATTCTCTATCTCATGGAGCAACAAAAGTTAGAGGATGATCAAAGATTTGATCACAAACAGAGCTATGACTATGACCTTTCTAAGTTAAAAGGTCAGCACAAAAAGTTAGTATCCCTATAGACTAAATTAGTTGATATATTCCAATCTGTATGTATAGATTCAAAAGTTGAAATAATAATATAATATCCTCAAATGGGTGCTGTTGAGTAACCTCCCTTGTAATAAGGCTAACTGTCTCAGCACAATTAGTGTAAATTTTGATTTTTCAAAATTCCTTCTCCCAGCAAATATCCAAACCTTTAATTAAACCATATATTTCTACAATCACAGGTGGGTAGCAAGGAAGCTTACTACAAAAACCAAATGTCCATTCTCCATCCATTGTGGCTGGTACTCCCCTACAAGAGCTTATCCCATTCTGTAAAATTGAACCATCAGTTGATAGTTATAGCAACTCCACAACATCACCATTATTTTGATTTAGAATTTTTTGTCCTACTTCATTTATGTTTGTCCCTTCCAAAAGATGCTTGTTGTAACATCTGGAATTTTTAAATTCAAACTTAATTGCTAATTAAAGAAGAATTAGTAAAAGAAATGATTAATTAGGCCAATCATGTTTCTGAATTGTTAATTGGTATTTTAATCATAAATAGCTTTAATATTAGACTAGGGTGAAAGTTATACTGAATCAAGTTTGAATGACATGAAGCAATTTTGAGAGTTACTCACTGTGCCATATGCCATGGCATATGGCATAGATTCATCATGAAGTTGTGAAAATCATTAGAAAAATAGAGTGGAATGTCGGGAAAACTTGGAGCTTGAAGGAAGGAAGTGGTAGCTGTGCTAATGCTTTATTTTGGGTAAGATTAGAGGCTTGTTTGGACTTTCAATTATCTGATTAAGCTTACTAACTCTTCATTCTTCCTCTCTACCTTGATTTAAGTGGGTTTTAGATTTCTGAATGAGGGTTTGTTAAATTCAAACCCTAAGGCATGCATGTGACTTGAGGAGCTTGATTTAAGGTGTATGGAGTTAAATAGGTGGATATATGTGGGTGTGCTATTGAGTGAAAGAGGATGGATGAATTCTAGGTTGGTTGGGAGTTTCGAAGTTGTGTAAGCTAAACTTAAGTATGAATAAAACTTGTATATGCTAAATTAAGATAAGGTAATATTGTAGAAGCTTTAACTAGCTTAATGGTAGAGGTTTGGATTGTTAAGTAGCTAAATTAACTTTTAATTTAGCTAGTGGGTATGTAACCTCCTGAATTTCAATCCAAAAAACTAGTTGATAATTAGGGGTAAATTAGTAATTAGTGAATTAATTATGGTTTGGGTGTTGGATTGATGTTTTATGTTTTTTGAATAGTATGATAATGGGGCTAAGTAGTAGAACTGTGATTCAAGATATAACACTCGAGCACTAGTGATATTAGTCTTACTATGCCATAAGTCGCAGCATATGCTACATGCACTGTAGCTCATGACACATATTTTATTTAAACTTGGCTTTTTTAGCTTGTGAAATTAGAAGAGCAAAGAAGGAAAATGCACCAAGAGAGGAGAGAAAGCTTGTCTATAAGGGTATCGATTTGTAGGAGTTTAGGAGTTTGCATTGGCCAATGACTTGTCGGGTAAGTTTTGTACTGCCCTATTATATGTTTCTACGCTAATTTCTTTAACTTTGGTTAATAAAGAAATTGAATCAGGAAGTTTAAAGAGTTAAAATCTAAAGAAAAGGATTAGAAAGGGCTTTTAGGTGTGAAACTAAGGTTTTAAGACTAGTCTGAAGTTTAATGGTCGAATTTTAATGATAAAGGCTTAAACTAACCTAAGTTATTAGGTTAAAAATGGGAAAATTTGAATAAACAAATGAAAAGGGGAAAGTTTTGATCATTTAGATAGCCTAAGGGGAAAATGACTATAGAAAATGAATTATCTAAACTCAAAAATTGTTAATTGTACTGTTTCATGTATTAAAAAATTTGGCTAAGCCAAATTAGTACTTGTGCTGAATGTTAAGAGTTGATTAAGGAATGTTTCTTGTGTAGATTTAGCATTTGAGAAGTTCTTCATGGAATTTACACTCTTGGGAGTTAAATGTAAGAGTGATAACCCTTAGTAATAAAGGTAAAAAATAACTAGAGTAACCCTTTTACTTGTTAGTTTGTGAAATTATTTATAAGTATTCACATTGTGTTTTATGAACTAATAGAGTAACAGTATTGTGAAAAAAATATGCATATGGGTGTGTGAGTGATGTTTGAAACATATGCAAAGAGCAAATGCATTTGCATCCACGAGTATACCTTAGACTAGGGTGGGGGTGACAACCTTACTCTGTACAAGGTTAGGAAGTCCTGAAGGTCTTAAACATAGAGCTTGGTCCACCAAAAAGGACTTAAGAGAATGATCCACAAGTGTACCCTAGGCTAGGGTAGGGGTTATAGTCCTATTCTTTATAAAGCTAGGAAGTCCTAACAGTCAAGTGTTGAGTATGCTCCACTAGTGAGGACTCAGGAGACCACCCATATTGATGATACCTAGTTTGATACAGTAGTTTGGTAGGCCCTATTCAAGTAAGGCTAGAAGTCTCGGTTCGAGCGTTGAGCTTGCTCCACTAGGGGAAAGTGAGAGTACATGAGCATTGTAGTAATTGTAAATGATAACTTGTGAATGCATACTTATATTGTTTTATTGAAAATAATGCTGCTTTATCTGCAGTTGATGATTTTACTTACTAACCAGTATTAGGGATTTATCCAAGTTACTATGACTTATGTCTCACTCTGTTACCTTTATCTACAGGTGAATAGAGCGTAAGAAGGTCAAGAAAGGAAGCGAGGAAGGATTAGCTTTTCTTTGATAGTGGTATGACCACTCTTATATAATGAATGTATAATATTGTATTTAAGGATTTGAGTTGCCAGCTAGGATGTATAAGTAAATGTGAATGTCCATATATATGATTATATGGTTGATAATTTGCTTGCGCAAATGATATTGCATCTTGCTAAATGTATCACATTGGTGAATATGTGGGAAGGCTTAAATGCTATTCAAGCAAGTTTATATTATGTTATATATCTTGTTTCATTGAGTAAATGTGAAATTGTAATGTGAAAATGTGTATTTGTGTGTGGATCTTGACCAAATGGTGAGGCCTAGCCTTATTTGTATGAGTTAAATGTATTTATGATTCTTGATTATATGATAAGACTCAGCTCCATATGTGAAAGTCAAAGGTATGAAAGTGGAACAATTATAGTGTTAAATGCATGAGTTAATGTGTTTCCTCATATAAGACCACAAGTGTGTAATATTGCATTAAGAGGTCAAAATGAGTATATAATGTGTTATATGTGATATATTGTATTAATTAGATGTATTTAGTCCTATTGGACTTGGTTCAAAGCCCAAAGCGGTCTAATGAGGCAAGAAATGAGAATTGAACACTAAGGGTGCCATATTTTGAAAGAAAAGTGACTTTTTGCACCCGGATGTCTAATTCTAGATCGGACTGTTAGATCATGTCTAAATATCTCATTAGATAGAATATGTCATAAGTTTCGTGTGGGCGCTTGAATCACTTTAATTGGACATCGAGTGTGAAAATGGTGCACGGCAAAAGTTTGTATAAAAAATTTGCTATAGATGTAGAATATGATACATGCGTTGTAGCACATA